CGAAGTTTCTCCTGATATTTAGCCGGTAACGACTCCCTTGTCATTCCCACCCATTAGATGTAGTCTTGCAATCCAGAGCAAGAGAGAATAGATCCGCTCCATCTTCTACATGGCAGCCCTTCAGATACTTGAAGACTGCAGTCATGTCCCCTCTAAGCCTCCTCTTTCCCAGGCTAAACAGGAAGGGCGGGCTCCAGAGCCAACTGATTTATGCAGCAGCCAAACCGCTCACTCACCATTTTAATGCCAGGAGCTCACAGAGTAAGATTTTTGCTCAAAGGACTCCACAGCTTAGAGGGAGCATTGGTCTGGAGCAATGTTCCCTCTAAGCTGTGGAGTCGGGCAAAAATGCTACTTGGTGAGCGACTGGCATTCAAGTTGTGAGCACTGGCATTCAAGTTGTGATTTGACTGCTGCATTGGAGCCATCCTTCCTGAGCCAAGACAAAAATGTGTGAGCCAGAGGCTAAAAAACTGTGAGCTGGCTCACACTCACTCAGCTTAGAGGGAACACTGGTAGGCAATGCTCCCTCTAAGCTGTGGAGTCTTGTGAGCAAAAATGCTACTTGGTGAGCGACTGGCATTAAAGTTGTGAGCCGAGCAATTGGGCTGCTGCGTCAATTCGTTTGCTCTGGAGCCATCCCTTCCTGAGCGAAGGCAAAAATGTGTGAGCCAGAGGCTAAAAAACTGTGAGCTGGCTCACACTCACTCAGCTTAGAGGGAACACTGGTCTGGAGGGCAGGGTGAAGTCGGGGAGCTCTCCGGGTTGGCCGCCCCAGGCCAGCAACCGAGGCGCTCATCCAGAAAGCCACAGCCTCTGCGCATGCACAGAGCGCCTTTACCCTGTCCTCCTCCTCTCCTTCATCTCACCCTCCTCACCACCCCCCTGCAAGGGAGGCGAGGCTAGGAGCCGCCGCCGCCGGCACCCCGCCGCCGCCGGCACCCTCTGGTCGCCTGGATCCGGGCGCCGCGTTGGGGCGGTTGCCGGGCGCCGGCCGGGGCCGGAGGAGGAGGAGGCGGCGCCGCCGCGGGGCCAGTTGCCCGGAGACGCGGTACACAATGGGGGCCGGAGGGGGGGAGCGGCGGCCCCGCGGCCTCTGTTGCTCCCGCAGGCGCCTCTGCGGTCCGCCTCGCTGCGCCAGCCGCTCTCTCCGCGGTCCGCCTCCAGGTCGGTCCCTCGCTCGCCCGCGCGCGCTCTCCTCCCCCCCCTCCCCGACAAATCCCGGCGGGGGTCCC